AAGTGAGACTCTGTTTCTTAAAAAAAAAAAAAAAATCATTTAATTTTTAAAAAATAATAAAAATAAATAAAATAAAAAGAATAAATCATATAGAAGATCAACAAAATGAAAAGTTGATTTTTGAAAAAGATAAATAAAACTAACAAACCATTAGCTACACTAAGAAAAAAGACAAAATATCCAAATAAAATAGGAAACAAAAGGCATTACAACTAATACGACAGAAATACAAAGGATCATTAGAGACCATCATATGCCAAAGAATTGGAAAACCTAATAGAAATGGATAAATTCCTGGACAGAAACAACCTGACCAAGATTGGACCAAGAACAAATAGAAAAACCCAAGCAGATCAATTATGAGTGACGAGACTGAGTCAATGAAAAAATGCCAACAAAGAAAAGTCAGGGACGAGATGACTTCATGGCTGAATTCCATCAAACTTTTTAAAAAGAATGCTAATTTTTCTCAAAATATTCTGAACAAAATAAAGGGGTGGAATTCTTCTGAATTCATTCTATGAGGCAAGCATTACCCTGATAACAAAACTGGACAAGGACGCCAAAAAAAAAAAAAGGAAAGGAAAACTGCAAGCCAATATAGGGATATATTGAACATAGATGCAAAAATACTCTATGAAATACCAGCAAACTAAATCCAACACCCACATCAAAAATAGACACCACCATCAGATTGGATTTATCCTAAGAATGCTAAGATGGTTCAACATACACTAATCAATACACAGGATACATCACATCAACAGAATGAAGAACAGAAAACAAATGATCATCTCAATAGATGAAAAAATCTTTTGATAAAATTCAACATCCCTTTATGATAAAAGCTCTCAACAAATTAGGTATAGAAGGAATGTACCTCAAAACAACAAAGGTCATATTGTGAGTAAATAAAAATAAAATTTTTTTTAAAAGGTCATATTGTGACCTCTATATGACAAGTACACAGCTGACCTCCGACTAAACAGGGAAAAGCTAAACTCTTTTCCTCTATGAACTAGAACATGACAAGGATGCCTGTTCTCATCACTCGTATTCAACAGTACTGGAAGTTCTAACCAGAGCAATTGGTCAAGGGAAAGAAAGAAAAGGCATCCACACTAGAAGGGAGGAAGTCAAATTGTCCTGGTTTGTAAGTGATATGATTTGGTATGCTGTATGGAAAAACTTAAAAGACTCCCACAAAAAAACCCTTATAACTGATAAAAAAAAATTCAGTGAAAGTGTTTTACATGATACAAAATCAAAATACAAAACTCAGTACTGTGTTTTCTACACCAACAACAAAGCAGAGGAAAAATAAATCAAGAAAGCCATCCTATTTACAATAGCTACCCACCAAAAATGTATCTAGGAATAAATTTAATTAAGGAGGTAGAAGACCTTTACAAAGAACACTATAAAATACTGATGAAGGAATTTTTTCTTTTTAGAGACAGCTCTCACTGTGTCACCCAGGCTAGAGTGCAGTGGCAACACCCTGATAGTTCATTGTTCCCTTGAACTACTAGACCCAAATGATCCTCCCCTCTTTGCCTCTCAAAGCATTGAGATTATATAGGCATGAGCCACTGCCCCCAGCTTGATGAAAGAAATTGAGAAAAAGGGAAGGACATTCATGCTTATGTTTTGGAAGAACTAATATCATGAAAATGAACATATCAAAAGCAATCTACAGAGTCAATGCAACCCCTATCAAAATATCAATGACATTTTTCACAGAAATAGAAAAAAAAGAAATCCTAAAATGTGTATGGAACCACAAAAGACCCTGAATAGCCAAAATAATCCTGAGTGAAAAAGAACAAAGCTGTAGGCATCACACTATCTGACTTTTAAATATCTTACAAAGCCAAGGTAATCAAAACAACATGTTACTGAAAGAAAAACAGACCCATAAATCTGTGGAACACAGTAAACAGGCCAGACATAAATCCATGTATTTAAAGCCAACTCATTTTCACCTTAGGCACCAAAAACATTCACTAGATAAAGGACACCGTCTTCATGAAATGGTGCTGGGAAAACTTGATATCCATACACAAAAGAATGAAACTCGAGCCTTTTATCTTAACCATAGAAAAAAATAAGCTCAAAGTGGATTAAAGACTTAAGACCTGAAACTTTTAAACTAATAGAAGAAAACCTAGGAAAAACACCTTTGGACATGGGTCTGGGCAAAGATTTTATGAATAAAACCTCTAACGCATAAGCAACAAAAAGAAAAATAGACAAATAGGATTTTACCTATCTAAAAAGCTTCTGCTCAGTGCAGGAAATAATAAGCAGAGCAAAGAGGCAATCTAAAGACTAGGAAAAGATATTTGCAAACTATTCATCTGACAAGAGATTACTAGTCAGACTATACAGGCAACACAATTGAACAACAAAAGAGTAATCAGAATATTCTGATTTTAGAAAGGGCAAATGATCTTGACTTGGTTTGGAAGAAAGACATACAAATGGCCAATAGGTATGTGTAAACAGTGTTCACCATCACTCATCATTAGAGAAATGCAAGCCAAAACCACAATGAGAATGACTATTATCAAAAACATAACAAATAACAAATGCTGGAGAAGACAGTGAGAAAAAAGGAACTCCTATGCCCTGTTGGTGGGAATGTGAGTGAGTATAGCCATTATAGAAAACAGTATGGAGGGTCCTCCACAAACTAAAACTAGAACTACCGTCTGATGCAGCATTTTTAGTGCAGGTTGCATATCTAAAGGAAAGGAAATCATTATGGAAAGGAGCTATCTGCACTCCTGTGTTCATTGCATCACTACTCAGATAGAGCTACAGGAGGCAAGAAAGCAACAGGATCAAAGGAAAGGCTTTTCCTTCGGCCGGGTGCTTTTAATTTTCTATCACTATGACATGCAGCAATTCTAATTTCTACTAAACACACAAGCCAGAGGAACTCTCGTGTGTGTACCCCAGGAGACGTATACAAACATGTTAACAAAGCTAGAAATAACCCGGCTGTCCATTGACAGTAGATGGAGTAAGAAGTGATTTTTCTCCTACTGCTGTAGCCACATTGTATTTGTAGCCCTGGATAATAAGTATATAGGTATTTGTTTTCATCACTGCCCTGAAAGTGTACCTACAAATTTTCATACACATTTTTGTGTTTTCTGTAATTGCACAATAAATGAGATAAAGACTGAAAAGCAAGTGAGTGCTTAAGGTCACAATTAGAAAACAACTTATGACTCTCTATCCCACCATCTTAACCATTATTCAAAAGAATAAAAATAAAATCCTCTATCAATCCACTGGGAACAAGAGTTAAAAAACAAATGCAAGTACACACAGCTTTGGGTAAGGTCCCTAACATTAGGGCCCCTAAATTACAGTGTCAATCCCAGATCCCAGTCCTGGCCCTGCTTCCCATCACAACCTACTCTGTCCTGTCGGAAAGTAATTTACGTCAGAATCTAAGACTGAGAGCTGCTTTGTCCAAGAGACAGTCTTCATAACCACACTGAATTATTTGTAATCGCAGGAAACTGGCAACCCTCATGGTATATACTAAGATATTAACAGAGTGGCCCAAATGCAGCACAGATACTGAGGAGCTCACGCAAATCACCAAGACAAAAGTGTCTGTGTCTTGGAAAGTCGGCTGATACAGGGAGACTTTCCTTGAAACTGTTCTTTGCACCCAACTGCCATCCAGGACTATTTACTCCGTGCTCTGGGGATATTTACTGCTTCACACATGGCTGCTCATCCAATCCCAGGCTGTGGCCTGATATTTTAGAAACCTTTGGCATTCCTAGACACTGCTGTCTGTAAACAAGACCAGACATATCTGAAATAAAAATAGGGCCACCTTGAGGCTCAGTTATGGAATCTATGCCAGAGATAGATGAAAAGTCTTACTTATGATTTTTCTACCAAATCCTGATATCTCATTACACTAAAAGAAGACTCAAGAATCCTAAATTCTGGACACAGTATTTCTAAAGTGGGTATGAAATAATGCTAGGGAAGGCAAACAGAAAAGGTGTTCTAAGGAGCATAGGCTGAATCTGCTATCCAAAAAGGTGGTTTCAGTAACATGGCCAATTCCTTAAGCAGCTTGAAAATTAGCTGTGTACAAGAGGTCTCTGCCTAACAAATGCAAACATTGTAACCTAGTAGTTTGTACCTTCACATTAACCTAAAATTAAAAAAATATAAAATAGAATGAATTTTAAAAACAGAAAACCAGCTGCATAAATCAGACATATAAGACAAAAGTTCTGATTGATACAGCATCATTGTTTTTGCAATGCTCTTAGAAAAACGCATTTTATCAGTGTCCAAACAAAGCAGCTACCAGCTGATCTATCAATTTTTCTGAGAAGTGGCCTTATAAAATGGATTTATTAATTCAAGCCATAATGAATATCCCCCCCTCAAAAAAAAAGAAAAAGGAATTCCTCTTCTCTTTCTGGAAAATAAGACAGTCACTCCAACATATATATTTGTATTTGCTGATTCTCTGTCAAGGTCATCCCTAATAGTCTCTGTAAGGGCAAAACTTAAAGCAACAACAAAGAGAAAGGGCCAGCATGTGAGAACAGACAGCTAGAGGGCTATGAAGGTAACCAGCCTGCAAATTTCCTTTTGGAATGAAATCTACCTAGCTAGGTAAGAAGAATCTACAGGATAGTGCTGAGCCAGGACTACCTATACCGCTAATTATATATATTTACCTGAATTCATCTGCAAAAATAACAGAGGTTTGTGACTTCATTCATAGCAAAGTCCACAGGGCCACAGTCCAAAAAAACCAGGCTAAAAAAAAAAAAGAAGAAAGAAAAAATAGGCCAGTGGGTTCATGCTCTTGTTTCCCAGTTGTTCAGGTCCAATAAAGTCTAACTATGTCACTGAAATGAAAAACAAAACAATCCTTGTTTGTGATGAGACAGAATTTAGCTTACTCAAAACTAAAAGACGGTGGAGAGAAAAAAATGCAACACACATTTAGAAATATAGAATTTATTTATATTCATGGTAAGACAGATTTACATTCTGTACACGGTTGCCAGAAGAGATGTAATACTCTCAAGGGTTACAACAGCATTATATTGCTATCAAACATTACATATGCTGTGTGAGTTGGAGAAAACTCATTTCCCCCTTTAAAAAATGTAAGGCTCAGTTTCCAAAAGGTAATTATACCAGTTATTTTCTGTTTATGAGACTGGGAAAGTTAGGGATGGAGGGTGAGGGGTGGCTGCACACACTTTCACTCAATCATACTGAAGCTACTCAATGTGACTTTTTTTTTTAAAGGCTCCTTCTATTTGAAAATGTGTTTAGTTACAAAAACAAACAAATCAGTAGATAGGAGGGGAATAAGGTATAGGGCTTCACTAAAGAACAAGGAAAACCTACAAAGCTCTTGATCACCAGCTGCTGGCTACCATGTGCTTTGGAGTTGCCTACATGGAAACGCACACACATTATCTTTGACTCACTGCTCTTTGGTGAAGCTTACCAGATTGTATTTATCTTTCAAAGTACTAGTAAAAAATTATTTACATTTCCTTCAGACCTTCAGATCAAGTCGCCACAAAAGTTGTCCTTTTTCCTGAATATAATTCCTCCCTTTTTGTTTTCAATCTTGCGGTAGAACAAAACCACAAGAGTCACCTCGCACAGATGTGCAATTCCACCACGTAACGGAAGGGAGTGGCAAAGTGCTAATTAGGACAAGAGAGTTTAGAGTATTCTTCGAAAATTACCATATCAGCAAGTTCCAAACACACTTTAGAAGCATTTCTCCTGTACAAACATTTCGTTCGATCAATAATGACACATAACAAAAGGCAGTTATCTGTCCTACCTCAGCAAACAACCTTGTCGTTCATGGGGCTAGTATCACAACCACCACAAAGCCAAAAGGACACCTGTAGGTTCTGCCTCTGGCATAAAGAGGTAGAGACGATCATTCTGTAGAAAAGATCAACAATAAAAAAAAAAACAAAACGAGGCCCTCTCCCCCCTCACAAAAACATTCCCTTCCTAAGGGCGAGCTCCGGAAAGCCAAGTTGATCTACAGGCGGCCTCAGTCCAACTTAGAGTCGAGAGCTCCGTTGCCCACGATCATCTTGCTGTAGTTCTTCTGCTGCTCTTCCTTAAAGGTGTCCTTCACCTTTGCTCTCTTCAGCCCTCCATCCCTGGGAATGGAAAGACAAACATAAAAGACAATCCCCAGCAATGATGCAGAGTCTTGTCATGCCATATAGAGTCACGACCCTGGGGCAGCTGGTCAGCAATGGGGCCAGGAACACTGGATTTGGAAGCAGGAAGAACCAGATTTCTGTTACTTTGGGGGAAAGAACCATCTCTCTCAAGTTTGGTTAAAATAAGAAACAATAGCTCCTCTCCACTTCTTATTACAACAGAAGGGAGCTATATATATAAAATACTTGGATCAAAATAAGGATTATTAAAACTAAAGTTATTTCTCTATATTTTTCCCCAAGGAAAACAAAATATCGGTTTTTCACCTACCTATAGCTTCCTAGAAAACTGTATGGAAAATTTTAAATATACACTTAAGAAATGCTAAGGGTGCTATACACGGATAGGTAAATTTCTTAAAGATAAATGGGTTAAGCATTACTCAAATCTAACCCTATGCTTAAGGAGTTGCATTTTCATTCAAAGCACTGTATTTCCAGTATTTATAATCTTCCTTGTAACAAAACTGACTCAGAATCAAACAAACAACAAAATCACACATTACATTCACCCAGAGGTGAGGGCCTGTGTAAGCAGCATTCCTTCATTTGGAGCCCGTAAATCTCTGAACTCTCTCCAGGGTGGTGGAAACACAGACCTGCCTGATGCTGGGGCTCTGCATGCCTTTCCTTGTATGGACTACACTGAGGAGTTACAAACTGGAAGAGCTGGAAGGAGATTGGAACTTGAGGGCCATTATCTCCCTCCTAATCTAATGTTTTAAACTCCTAGGAGAGTAAGGACTGAGAAATTGCTTACTTTATACTGTGACTGTTTAATTTTAACCCAGTTAAGTAGTAATGATTAGCGAGTGCTTCTGATGATGATGGATGGTTGTAGGTTAGCCAGTAAACTCAATGCCATGAGGACAGAACTTGACCTCCATACAGACGCCTGCCTGAGACCACTGGGAGGTTCTGGCTTCTAGCATCAAATCTAAGGCATAGCTCACCAGCAAGTTCTCAACTTAAAAAGAGACTGTGATCCACACCTGGGGGTCACTTGTGGGACATTTTCATGAAACAAGATTAGGTCCTCAGCACTGCCCACATAAGCCTCTTTTATCCAAATGAGCTGCCTCTAACTATTCACAACATTTACCTGAATTCTGAGTGGTAAGAACTAAGAAAGCGATGAAAGGGAAGTAAGAAAGGCCTTTCTTCTTTCCTGAGGTCCAGGCAAAAATACCACATTAGCAACCTGACATTATTTTTGTATAATTCTCCTTCCCAGAGGCCCAGAAAACTTTGTGCTGCTTGCTGTAAGCACCCCAACTGCTTCTAGAGACTTCAAAGTTTTACCCAATTCCTCTTTCTAATGGTGGCAGATCTTAGTTCTTAAGAAAAGCAGCACCATACAGAAGAACCAGTTTAAGACCATTCAACTACATTTTCACTTATGCTATGAGAAAAGCAATCTAGATGACAAATATATCTGGAAAGACAATGAGGCTATTTTCTTTTTATAAAAGAGGCTAGGTAATTAAAAGCAATCTTTTATTATAAAATTGCATATTGCCTGATCAAATGAAATTAAAAAATTCCGAGGATCATTTTTGACAAATTCAGCTAAACCAATCAGATATCCGGTCTGTCCCTGGCTGACCCCTCTAGGCTGCTTTTATCTCTCAAGTCTTTTGCTTTTCCCTGTGTCCAAGGCTACAGATGGATCCAAAGCTCCAGGCTTCAGGGTAGGAGCAAGAGAGCTGGAGGTCAGGAAAGAAGGAGGATGAGAAAATAGGTTTGTTTCTTTTTTAAGTTTTTCTAAAAAATGAAAAGGAAGCCAGCTGCACATATGAACATGGATCACTACGTCATTTGTGGACTAAGGGAAACCTGTAATTTTTATTATATCTGTCATTTAGTTCAACATATTCCAATTTAGATCGTATAATACAAATATTAGTCTTAGCCTGTATCTCAGGGCTAGTAAGCTGCCCTATGCCAAGACGTCAGACTCCAGGCGTGGTCAGCCAGCATTTAATCAGAAGGCCACCTTCCTGAAGTGTGCTTACATAGCCTTGGCTATGTTCATTTATATCACTCATCAATTTCCCAAGCTTTGTTAATTAGCCTAGTAAGTCTTAGAAATAGGTTCTCATGTAGAAATTAGTAGCTTGTTAATTAGAGTAATAGATGCCAGAAACAGGCTTTCCTGGGTAAAATTAGCTCTAGTCACAATATGCAAATACAGAAAACATTTCCGTGATCTTCCCCACCCTTGTATAAAGGAGTACAGGTAAGTCCTCACTCAATGTCATTAGTAGGTTATTTACACAAAACTACATCTTATATAACAAAACAATTTTTTTATCTTCAACATTATAACAAAGCAACATTAAACAAAATGATATTCCTCAAAGACCTATTGTAAGTCACTTTGCTTAAAGTATTTTCCAGAACCAATTACCGACACTAACTGAGGGCTTGCTGTGGAAGGATCCAGATAGCCCTTCTTCTTAGAGGCATATACTCTGAACAGTCCTGGGTCCTTTTGCTGGTTTGGAAGGTTGTTGGTTATCTGGCTGATAGCCTGACTCAGTTGGCCCAATACTATTCCTAGAACACTGCTACAAATGCCTCAAATGATTTTTCATGTAAAATGTTTTTGAAACACCAAAAGAGACAGCAGGGACTTTGTGGAACTTTTTGGACTTGAAGTATAGACTGCTTTGTGACAGCTTACTATTATAATGTCTCTACGCATGCAAGAATTTGATCATCTAAGATAATGCAGGTATGGGTAACAGTCACTGTTACAGAATGAATGTTTTTGTCCCCTCTAAAATTCATGTGTTAAAGCTCTAACTCCTAATGTCATGGTTTTGAGGAGGGAATCAGGGTTAGACGAAGGCCTGTGGGTGGGGCCCTCATGATGAAATTAGTGCCCTTCTAAGAAGAGGCACCAGAGACCTTGCACTCTCTCTCAGTGCTTGCACAAAGAAGAGGTCATGTGAGCACATGAGGGAAATCAGCCATGTGCAACACAAGGGGAAAGACCTTACCCCAAACTGACCATGCTGAAACCCTAATCTCAAATTTGCAGCCTTTAGAACTGGGAGAAAATAAATTTCTGTTGTTTAAGCCACACAGTTGATGGTACAGTAACCCTCCTCTCCCCCGCCATCTTCCCTTATCCATGACTTTGCTTTCCATGGTTTCAATTTCCTATAATCAATTGTGGTCTGAAAATATTAAGATATTTTGAGAGACAGGCCACATTCACATAGATTTTACTGTAGTCAGTATATTGTTATAATTGTTTTATTCTATTACTCTAGTTGTTATTAATCTCTTATTGTGCCTAATTTATAAATTAAACTTTATCACAGGTACATATGTATAGAAAAAAACATAGTATAGGATCTAGTACTATCCATGGTTTCAAGCATCCACTGGGACTCTTGGAAAGTATTCCCCACAGAAAAAAGGGAGCTACTGATTTTGTTTTGGCAACCAAAGAAGACTGATAATACTCACTACATCCCACCTTATTCAAACAAAAAACTAAAGCTAGTAGTTATTCATAACTAAAATATTTTACTTAACTTCTTTCAAATTGCTAAGCTTTCTCAAATGTAGTTATAGCTTGAGCTAAATATGAATGAGCCTATATGTAGCCTGTTGCCTCCCAATGCCCAACCCATTCCCAAATCCATTCTCTCTTCTTCAGTAAAAGAGCTTAACTTTTAGGTAGGTACATGGCTGCCCAGAATAAAGACTACAGTCCCCAGCTTCCTTTGCAGCTAGACATTATCATCTGACTTGAGTGCTAGCCAATGGGTATGAGTGTAAGTGGCATTTCCAACTTCCTTCCAGCTCATGCTCTTAAAGAGATGATTGTGTCCTTTTTTAAAATTCCTTCCTCCTAGCCACTTCCTGTACACACTAGTAGAGTTGGAGCAGCTATCTTGGACCATAAAGTAGAAGCAAAAATTGAGGGTAGAGAGCAATACAGACCAAACTGTATACCAGTTTTGAATGCCCATATTTAAGAGCGAGAGAGAAATATTTATCCTCTTTAAGCCATTGCTGTAATGTATAAATCACTATAACTTTCAGCTAAACCTAGAGATAACTAGAAAAATAAGTGGTTTGTTGACAGTGATTTTTTTTTTCCTAATTAAAAAAAAAAAAAAAAGTAAATGCTACTTCTGAAAAATTTCTTACCAGGGAAGTTCAGTCAGTCCTCCTTGTATAGCAATAGCAGACTTAACCCTGTTAGCAAACTGAACTGCATCTTCTCCTTCCTAGTGGAAAAAAAAATTACAAGTATTAATACATCTTGAGTGTAGGGATACCTTACAATGTCTTATAATCATTTATAGTTGTCTTAAAATATAAGAGTCACATTTCAGCTCAAATATTTCATACTTTTAGTCAATCAAAGCAAATACTATTTGTTCTATCAAGAAAATGCAGTGTTGTATTATTTAATTTTTTATCAGGTACATATATTGATCAAATTCTTTTACTAGTCTCACCCAAGAAACAGCATTCTGTAATACCCAGCAATTGTAAAATTCTATGGGAAAGAGACTTTGAATATAAAACGGCCTGATTTGAGGAGAGCTAATTACATTATTAAAAAATGACTCATCAGCCAAGAAAGCAGGAAGGCATGATAGGAAGAAGGGAGACACCCAGGTTTTCATGCAAAGATTTTTGTGCCTTTACTTGATTAGATAAAGCACCAAATCCAGCTGTAAGCTCAGTAATACCTCTCTGATCATGGGGGGCATGTACCAAACATCACAGACGATGGCCCAGCTGGTCATCATTCGAAGAAGGTAGCTCACCATGTTGTATTTACTGCTGTTCCAAAATGCATCACCAAACTGAGGGTTATACTGGAAAAGAAAATAGATCTTAGTTTCCTAGTTATGACCCAAGTGCTGGCTTCTCATCCCTGTCAATGTTTTTAAGACCCTAAGAAAAAGAGAAGTCACTTTGCTGGATAGAATTGATCAAAAAAAAGTAAATCAGACCAGCTAATTCCAGCTGCCTTTCATTATAACTAGAGCCCCAGATCTCTGAAACAAGAGGGTTCGTCACATGACTGTTGAATACCTGTCTCCACATCTAACTGGAAGGTCAATGAAAGCAGGCATGGTATCCATTTTACTGAATCACTATATCCTCAGTACTTAACATAATGCCTGACATACAATCACCTGCTCACTACACAGTTAGCTACAGATCAGTAGAGAGAGAATGAGAAAGCAAACGGGGCAAAACATATAGAAATGGTGAATCTCAGTAAAGAGTACACAAGTGTTCCTCATTCCTGCAAATTTTAAGTTTGAAATTATGTCAAAAGAAAGTTACCAATCCAATGATTTTTTTTTCTGGTATCTATTTTACCTTAATAGCGACTGGATGTATGGTTCCTCCAATTTCAAAGCTTCCCTTTTTAAACATCATGACTGAAGTATTGTTGATGCAGGTTCCTATGGGGGGAGAAAGCATTGAATGTTTTTAAAGGCAGTCATTTTCTAAATAATTTCTTTTTCTTTAAGACAGAGTCTCACTCAGTCACCCTGGGGTAGAGTGCTATGGCATCATAGCTCACAGCAACCTCAAACTCTTAGGGCTCAAGGGATCCTCCTGCCTCAGCCTCCCAAACAGCTGGGACTACAGGCGCCTGCCACAACTCCCAGCTATTTTTAGAGATGGGCTCTCACTCTTCTTCAGGCTGGTCTTGAACTCCTGAGCTCAGGAAATCCACCTGCCTCGGCCTCCCAGAGTGAGGAAATTACACACATGGGCTACCGGGCATCATTTTTTAAATACATTTTAGAGAAATTATTTTAATTTAAAAAACTTTAAATATCAAAATTACAGACATTACACTATCATTTCACAAATCAACCCTTGCTTAAGTAGTAATCTGACACTTCTAAGCAAGCTTAATAACAAACTTTTACTTCTTTTTTTCTTTTTGAGACAAGAGTCTTACTTAGTCCCTCTTTGTAGAGTGCTATGGCATCCTAGATCACAGCAACCTCAAACTCTTGGGCTCAAGCAATTTTTTTCCCTCAGCCTCTTGAGTAGCTAAGACTACAGGTGCCCACCACAACACCTGGCTATTATTTTAGAGACAGGGTCTCACTCTAGCTCAGGCTGGTCTCGAACTCTTGAGCTCAGGCCATCTGCCCATCTCAGCCTCCCAAAGTTCTGGGAGTCCTTCCAAAGTGCTTACAGGTGTGAGCCACCACACCCAGCCTGAGAGGATCACTTGAGCTCAGGAGTTGGAGACCAGTTTGAGCAAGAGTAAAAAGCCATTTCTACTAAAAACAGAAAAATCAGCCAGGCATGGTAGCAGGTGCCTGAAGTCCCAGCTACATAGAAGGCTGAGGCAGTAAGATAGCTTGAACTGAGGAATTTGAGATTGTGTACTAGACTGACACTGCAGCACTCTAGCCTGGGTGACAGAGTGGGATGCTGACTAAAAAATAAATAAAGTCATGGACAATAATGTTCCTGGGTTTATTATCCAGAAATGACATTTGAAATAAAAAAGATAGGATGACTTCCATCAAATTTCCAAAGAAAGCCAGGAATTAATATTCCAGAGAAAGTATTCCATTCCTATAGGACAGCAGAGATTTAGACTAAGAACACCAATTCTAGAACAATTTTATTCATCATACACTTTTGGTGGTTTGTTGTTACCAACTAAAGCTTGGTAGGCAGTCCCATTCTCACCTTCAGGAAAGATTAATATGGGTAATTTTTTCTTATCAGCAATATGTTCTTTTAGTCTGTGAAGAAAAATAAAGGATCAACATTCTGCCTTTGAAAAGAGATAGGAGTAAGTTCTTTTCAGTATTCTTTATAATTTACTAGCATAAATAAAATTTTAAAGCAATAAGAAGAAAGTAAGCTATAAGTCAATGAAATAAACTCAAGTTGATCCTTTCCTTAAAAAGTATAAGAAGATCTGCACTATTTTAATTTCAGTGTGAGAGGCTTCTGCCTGCTTGTTAAAAATATTACTAGACACATGTGATGAGAGTGCTGGGACCCCTTATTTTGAGGTTTGTGCCCTTCTCTAGGTGCATATATTTTAGGATGACCAGATTTTAACATTGTAAAGCGGGACAACATGGCGGGGGTGGGGTGGGGAGGGAGGGGCAGGGCAGGGCCTAACAACAATGCAAACTTTGATAAGTAGTTCTCGATAATCAATTCTCAACAATTATTTGTTATTATTACAGTTTAACATTATAAAATTAACAAAAATAATATAAAACTCATATTCTGGCAAAATAGCCACATGGCAGCCAAAAACCGTATATTTCCTTCCTGTTCTCCCGCCCGTTCGTGCATTCTTTCCAAAAATCGAGACTTTTTTAAAATGCCGCGGGACGCTCAATAAATTGTTAAAAAGCGGGACGTCTGGTCACCCTAATATATTTCCTCATCTGAAAAATGGGAATATTAATTGTTGAACCTATCTGCATTACAGCCATCAAGTACAAGATAATTCCTTAAGTGAGTCAGGTCAAATTTTCCTACTAAATCCATACCATGAAGCTAAGAAGGCTTAGTCCTGTCTTCCCTGCAGCCAACCTTATATTCCCAACCCTGCTCATCAGAAGCTGGTAAAGGCTGGGACTGAAATACTGCAGCTTCCAGAGCTTCTCATTGCTAAACAATTCTAATATAAGGAATGATGTTTCTAACCAGAAGAAGATTTCAGCAAGTACTCTTCATTTTACCCTTAAGAGCATGAGCAACCTTCATGTACATGGAAGCAACCACCAGAGTGCCTTCAATTACAGACCTCAGGCAAAAAGTGGTTCTCCAGTTTTCCAGCAAAGGTTTCCGGTAGCTCATCTCTACCTCAAAGCTGAGAGGTTTCTTCTCTCACTTTTCTGTCTCCAGCTGTCTCCACCATTAAGTGACAAAGGTCATTCAGCAAACACTAAATCAACCATCTATTTACTTAGCCAAGAGTTACAAATGTTTTAACCTTCAAGGTGGTAATTTTTAACTTTGAAAATTCAGTGACTATACCATATCTAAGGCACAGCAATATGGATGTATGGGTCTTCTAATACTGTCATCAATTTATGACAACAGAATTAAATTTCTTAAAAATCTGGCTAAGACAGATGACTCAACCAAAAATTCCAACTATAAATAGAACTCTGTATGTTTTAGTTTTATCTTTAGTGCTTCTCTGCCCTCTTTGGCGGGAAGGTCAAGATTTACCAGCTTTTATGCTACTCCAGTAAATACTAAGTCACCTCACTACTTACCTCTTAGTAACTAAGTGTCGATCCTTCATTTCTGAGCGTTCAAACCAGACATGTGGACAAGCCTTGACCATGGCTCTCTGAATAATTCCCATCAACCCACCGTGAACCTGGCCAACCTAGAAGTACCATGACAAAAAGAGAAAAGTGTAAAGGTATAGCTACCCAAAGAAAGGTTTTTTATAAATACCAATAAATTCCTATTTCCCACTCAGAAATAAGATTGGCCTTCTACTCATTGATTCTTAGTCTCATGAAAGGACTTGAACTGTCAAATGAAAACAAAAGGAATTCCTTCGTAGCACCTTTCAAGTTACATTGCTGAACGAGCTATCCTCCAGGTGGAATAAGTAAAGGTTCTTCAGCTTAGTCAAGGTTAGAAAAATACAAATTAAAACTACACTTTAATACCATTTCAAACCCCTATTAATTAACAAAGATCTAGAAACTTGATGATAAACTCTGATGCACGGCTATGTGAAACTGTAACTCTATACATTGTCTGGGGGAAGGGAGAAAGGATTATATGACCAATAGAGGGAAATATGACAACATTTATCAAGATTACAATGTACAGGCCCGGCACAGTGGCTCATGCCTATAATCCTAGCACTCTGGGATGCTGAGGCCAGTGGATGAGCTCAGGAGTTTGAAATCTGCCTGAACAAGAGCAAGACCCTGTCTCTACTAAAAATGGAAAAACTAGCTGGGTATGGTGGCGGTGCCTGTAGTTCCAGCTACTTGGGAGGCTGAGGCAAGAAAATCCCTTGAGTCCAAGAATCTAAGATTGCTCTGAGCTATGATGCCACAGCACTCTACCCAGAGCAACAGAGTGAGAGTCTGTCTCCAAAAAAAAAGGAAATGATTACATATATATTTGCCCTTCATAATTCTTCTTCTAGGAATTTACCCTAAAGACATATACCTCTGACAAAATGAGAAGACATATATGCAAGGTTAAAAATTACAATATTACTTGTTATTACAAAACATTAGAAACCTAAATGTGCAAATATGGGAAATTCAATGAATAGACAATGGCATATACACAGAATGGAGTACTACGCAGCTGAGAAAAGAGCAAGGTTGATCTCTATGACAGAAAACAAGTGATTTCTAGAAGATATTATTAAGTGAAAAAAGCAAAAGAACAAATACAGCATACTTCCTTGTGTGTAAGACTGAGGGGACATTCTATGCATATACTTCTTCATCTCTACAAAAAGAGACATGTATAGAAAAGACAACGCAAACCAATGAAGGTGGGAACCAAAGAAGGAAAGGGGTAGAAGGAACATGGGAGGGAGGGGCACTTCCTTTTTATGATCGTTGACATTTAGAAGTATGTTGATGTCCTACATATTCAAAAAATAAAATTTAATCAACAAAGGTGAGAATAAGAAACTGAATCCAAGCTACAGCAATTGAACCCAACTGTATTTCAAATAAATAAAAGAACAGTGGTGAGGGAAGAAGAGAACACCCAAGAAACTTACTGATACAGAATTTGACCTCATACCATCCATCGTAGATGGGGTAGCAGGAATCACAACAGTCCTGAACTCTTACTACATGTGTTTTATTGTAGCAAAACAGATAAAGCAATGCTGAAAGGATTTTTTTTTTTTGCAGTTTTGGCCAGGGCCAGGCTTGAACCTGCCACCCCCAGTATATAGGGCCAGCACCCTACTCCTTGAGCCACAGGCACTGCCCACAATGCTGAAAGGATTTTAGATATTTGATAGAACTGAGAAAATGAGTAAATATGTTGATATTGTTGGAAGACACGGTTTTCACAGTAAATAAGGGAGATGGAAATATGGATTGGAGGAAAGCAAGAAAGAACCTTACTCTGAGTTGAAAGTATTGGTGTACATTCAGACTTTCAATAACAAAAACATTTTAGAGAAGTCATTAAGTAATAGATGCATTAATTAGTTTGATTTAGTCACTCCAGAATGTGCACACCCATCAAAACATCATGTTATACACCATAAATTTGTTTTGGGGGTTTTGTGTGTGTGTGTTTGTTTGGGGATTTGGGGGCGGGGGTTGTTTCTGTTTTTGTTTCTGAGATGGAGCCTCACTTTGTCCCCCAGGCTAAAAGGCAGGGGCGGTTATCACAGCTCACTGCAGCCTCAAACTCCTGGGCTCAATTGATCCTCCTGCCTCAGCCTCCTGAGTAACTGGGACTATAGTCACATGCCACCCTGCCTAGCTAATTTTTCTACTTTTTGATAGCAATAGGGTCTTGCTCTTGCCAAGGATAGTCTCCAACTCCTGAGCTCAAGCAATCCTCCCACCTTGGCTTCCCAGAGTGCTAGGATTACAGGAGTGAGCCACCACACCTAACCTATACAATTTTTATTTGTCAACTAAAAAATATTTTTTAAAAAAGAAAAGTCATTGATAAGAGATCATTAATGTTTTTCAGACACACAGTTTACATTTAGCCAGAAAGGCCATTTATGAACTCCGGAGGCTTTCAGTACAGTCTCACCCTCACTTCTACCTAGTGCCATCTCGGATTTAAATTCAACTGGGCAATGTCTTCAATTTGGGGCTTAAAAAAAAAAAGAATAAAGAATAAATTCTATTGGCTTTAGCTTTCTACCATTCAACCCACTGGATACTTTGTAGTTATCATGCTTTTCTAAACCTTGGCCAATAATGTAATTGCAGATATAACGTAATCAAAAAGCAGGGAAAACACCAACAAAATTCTGAGGTCCCCAGTCATAAGGGGCTCTACTCAATTCTGAGTTGACCAGGACACAAAAGAAATATGGTCTCAAAAACACAAAATCATGACTAGGCAGTGACATAGTTTAAATGTACTCCAGAAGGTTCATGGATTGGAAACTTAATTCTCTATGTGATAGTGCTGGGAGATGGGTCACCATTGGAAGTGTTTAGATTATAGATTAATGGCACTATACAATGCTGACACCTTAATATTGAATTTCCTTGCTTCCCAAGCTATGAGCCAACAAATTTCTGTTCATTATAAATGATCCAGTCTGGCCAGGGTGCAGTGGCTCA